GGGGGCCGGGGGGGGGGGGGGGGGGGGGGTTTGGGGCTATGGGCAGGAGCGCCTTGTGCTTTCAGGTGGGTAGGGGTGCAGGCTCCTCCTCACTGCCCCAGGAGTCCTAGGGTGTGGCTACACCTGCCCAGTGACCTTGGGCCCTGACCCCAAACCCTGCCGTGCCACCTCCCAGGGCCAGGCCAAGGACAGCCTTTCATGTGCCAGCCCTGGTGTGCGGTGGCTGCCACCAAGGGGCCGCGGGTCCTTTCCAGCCTCCACAGAGCTCGAGCAGCTCAGGGCCTCAGTGGACTCAGCCTTGCCCAGGAAGGGGACAGCCCTGCCATTGAGATGTCCTCCTGACCACCTGCCTGTGGGCAGCGGGGGAGGGGCAGTGGGGCAAAGGACGCTTGGTCACAGGGCCCAGGGAGGATGGAGTGCACCCCTGCCGTGCCTGGGAGAACACATGGCCAGGCGGGCTGAGGTCCCTGGGAGCCCACAACCCTGGGGCCCGCCGTACCTTCCGAAGGCACCGTAGGTGTTGACGATCCTGAGGGGGCTGAAGGAGGTGTTCATGACCTGTCGGGCACTCAGTAGGTTGAGAACCACAGGGATGCTGAGCCAGGCGACCAGGACACCCAGGGCCAGGTTGACTGTGCGCCGCACCAGGCAGCCTGCGTGGGAGGAGGGGGTGGTGAGCTTTCCCAGGTCTCAGAGGGGCTACTGCTTCCTGGTTTCCAGGCTCACGGGGTCAGGGAGGCGCCCAGCTGGCTGTGCGGTGCTGACTGAGCCAGGGGAGGACACTCCCTACTGTCCCTTGTCCCCAAGCCAAGGGCACTGCCTGAGGCAGACGTGGTGGCTGAGTGATGACCGTGGTCCTCACGAGGGACCCCGCTGCTGCTCATGAGGCGCCAGCTGTCCAGGCTCTGGGGATGGAGCCTGACATCTTCTTGGTGAGTACAGTGCACATAGCGGGCGGTGGTGACTCATCCTTGCCCCAGCCCTACCCTGTGCTTCTGAGAAATGCCAGGGCCAGGGTGTCCAGGTTTGAACTGGGGTACATGGGCTGGTGCTGCCGGGCTCTCTGTGCATGCAGGAGCTGACCAGGACATGGCTGCCTACCGTATCTTTTCTCTGGCTGGGCACCTGGGTCCTCCCGCTGCATCCTCAGGACTCGATCCTTCAGGCCACCCGGCCCCGAGGGGAAAAGGAAGCCCAGGGTGGCATCATCGAAGCAGGCGAGGCTGGGCACAATGGTCAGCCAGTTCAGGAAGCTCAGGTTCCCGCTGGCAATGAGGACCACCTGCAGAGACATGGGCTGAGTACTAGGACAGCTTCCTGGAGCAGGGGGCTGGGGACTCTGTGCCAGCCTGGCCCTTGTCCCTGCCCTCCAGCCCAAGGACCACGCCCCCCTGTTCATGCCAGGCCCTGCTGGAGGGGCTGCCTGGGGGGAGGGAGCAAGAGGCCCCAAGGAGTCCCCAGCAGGACTGGAAAATTCCTTCTGGTGACGGCACGTTTTGTCAGTTGTTACTTGAGAGGCTGGTGCTGACTGTGACCCTGGGCTGACCTTGTGGGCACCTCACCTTACAGGGGGCCCTACTGGGTTCATGCCCAAGGAGGGCCGGCATATCCAGTATGGATGCAGGAAGCCATATGTGGACGCCAGCTGCCTGAGTACGGACAGCAGGACGGCAGGGGCTGGGGCCGCTAGAGCCTCTGCCCCAAATGTGAGTGGGAAACCAGAGGCAGGACCGGAGCTCGGTGAGAGGAGACAGCATCACATGGAAGCGGGAAGCAGCCCGGGGACAGCACAAGATGCATTCAGGGAGGAGTGAGAAAAGGCCAGATGGTGGCCAGTGGGCAGGACTGGCGGCTGGGCGGTGCTCGCCTGGAAGCTGGGGCCATGCATCTCTCCAGTGCCCGCCGAGGTGTCTGCATGGGCGCCAACAGGGACCTGCCCTGGGAAATGCGAAGTCCGAGGGGTACAAGGAGCACTACCCCTTAACCTGCAATTGTAGACAGCAGATGGGTGGCCAGCAGCTGCCTGCCTGTCTGAGCCAGGCGACATCAAGCATGTCCCCAGGATCCAAGCAGCAATCCTGCCTCAGGCCCCATGGCAGAAGCGCACCGAGAGGGAAGGCAGCACAACTGCTCAGGGCCAGCGTGGCTGAGAGTCAAAGCCGCAATACAACGAGACGTCAGGGCTGAGGCCTGCAGCCATGTGCTAGGCTCCAGCCCAGGTGGTACTCTGAGGCTGCCTGAGTCAGCAGGGGTGGATGTGGATGCCTCAACCCTCCCTGTGGAGCCCATCAGGGCCCGTCCCAACATGTGGCCACGCCACCCCTCTACTTCTGAATTTTAATTAAAGCCAGGTAGTAATACCAATGACTGGGGAATTGAAAGGTTCTAGGCTAGGGTCTTACAAGCATGTCAGCTTCCTGGGGCCTGATGGCGCTTTATGATGTGTGGATTCATGGCTCTCCTGGGTTTCTGTGGAAAACTAAAGTTCTTGGTTCTGAGTCCCAAAATAATTATTTCTTATTCTTTACAGTCCACAGCGTTACCGAACTCGGTGCCCAGAAAGCCCAGCCCGGTCCCTGCTCCGGGCCGCAGTGCCTCCCGCCAGTTCCTCAGTCAGCCCCGACTCCGGGCTCTCTGGTTGGGAACTGACCAGGGAGGTTCTGGGCAGACCCTACTTCTGGAGTGCGGAGCCAACACCTGGGGCGAGGTCCAGGGCATGGGCTGTCCCCAGAACGGTGGTTCCAACAGGTGGGGCTGCTCGGAGTCCTCTAGGGTTCCAACGGATGGGGCTGTCTGGAGCTCCCAAGGTTCCATTGGGTCAGGCTGCCTGGAGCTCTGGAGCCCTTCATGCAGAGGGGAGGGTGCAGGGCTGGGAGCTGTGTCTGAACTCGGACCCGAGCCCTCTGGGGTGTGATAGAGGGGACACCCAAGTCCCCTGAGGACGCCCGAGGTCCTGCCATCTGTCTGGTGGCTGCACCAGCTCTGGCCTTTCTCGTGGCTGACTTGGCTGTGGTCACCTGCAGACAGGACCCAAGTAGCCCCCTTGTCCATCCATGGCTGCAATCAGCCCTTACTCAGTACCGTCAGGTCCTGAGTGTGAGTTCCATGGAACCCTGCTCCCTTGAGGCTGGTGATGGACTTGGACTCAGCTTTCCTCTCCCCTCCCAGCCCTGCCATCCACCTGGGCCTCTGCCTCCCTCGAGGCTGAAGATGGGCTTGGACTCAGCTTCCTTCTCCTCTCCTAGCCCTGCCCTGAGCACCACAAGAAACCCGATGGCTGGAAGGTGCCAGACCAGAGAGCACATCTTTCTCCAGTCAGGTGCAAAGATGAGACTGAGAAGAGTCAGAGGTCAGGAGCCATGATGACCCAGTGGTCCCAGTTCCTCAGGGTGAGTCTCACAGGGCTGAGCTGTTGGGAACCAGAGTCCAGCATGGCCGGCTGGGGATCTCGAGGGCTCACCCAGCCCACACCCACTTCCTTGCACTTGCAAGCAGCACCCCGAGGTCTCACGGTTCCCCTACAGGAGCAGGAAGCCACAGGCATGCCACTCCTGCTCACGGTGCCCTGCAGGGGAAGGTCTGCCCCTAAATCTGGGCAGTGGAAGGGCTGGCCACGGGCTGCTGCTGGTGCTGCAAGGGACAGTCCTGTGCCCACACAGGGGGTGGCTTCTTCCACCATCCTTCTGGGGTAAGGGAGGTGAGACACCTCACAGAATGCCAAAACACCCACATATACAGGCACATGCACACAGGCACTCACACATCCACTCCATGCATGCACACACTTAAACATGCATGAGCACACACACAGGTGCACACATACCCACCCACACATGCACACGGGCTCTACACTCAAGTGTGCACATGCACACAGTGCACACATGTACCCACTCACATGGATGTACACACAGACCCAGCCCAGCCCAGCCTGATCTGACCGTCTGCACGATCCCCACGAGGGTTGCCCCAGACTCTGACCTCCAGCCTCTTTCTCCGCAGACAGGGCCTTGGTGCCATCATCTTCCTTCCCTCTGAGCCGTGTCAGGAAATGATTGGGGAATGTCATCAGAGTGTGACTTCCCCAGTCCCTTCTGGGACCCGGCTTCCCAGCAGCCCTGTGGCTCTAATGCTGTAGTCTCTGGGGGTGGAGCAGCCTGGGCCCCCAGCATCCCCGCCCTGAGTGGTGACTGTGTGTATCTGGCCCAGCATGGTGGGGTGAGGATGAGGGCACCCACTCCTTGGGCTCTGGCCTGCCTAGCCCTGCTGTTCGGAGACCACCTAGATGGCAGAAACGCTCTGCAAGCTCACCCACAGGCGAAGGCTGTGGAAGCCAAGGGACAGCCCCACCATGGCCCTGTGGGAAGGTCACGTGTGTCGGACACTCAGGGCCTGTGAGGAGGAGCAGGCGTGAATGGGGCGACCTGCTCCTGCCTGTGTTCCTTAGTCTCTAGAGTCTTCCAGAAGCCCCCAGCCCAGCTGGGATGCCATCGCCCCTGCCAGGGCCCCACAGGGAACCTCCCAGGCGGTGGGATGGGCGGCGCTGCGTCCTGGAGGCAGGAGGCGCCAGCCCTGCTCAGCTGGTCCCCATGCGCCTCGTGGGGCCATGGCCTCTCAGACGTCCTGGGGAGACCTGAGGAGCCTGGGAAGCCATAGCCCACCAGAGGGCCATCGGGGCTGCAGGTGTCTCTCAGCCTGTGGAGCCTCCCACTGCAGCCTTCGGGCATCTGGCTGTGCACTCGCCCTGATGGCTCATGAACCACCCCTGCTATTGCACTGACTGGGCTCTCCCGGCTCCTTGGGCGGAAATGTCCAGGCCTCACAGTCCCGAGGTGCAGTCTCACCTTTGGACTCACTGCCTCTGGAGAGGCCCTACCCAGCCCGGGTAAGTCCTACCCTGCCTGTGACAGGCACCTTAGCCCCAGCAAGAAACCATGACCAAAGGGCCTGTCAACTCCTGCCCTGGCTTCTGTGACTTGCAAGGACAAGCCTGGGAGAGAAGACATTGTTGTGAAGAGCTGGTGGGTGCCTTGGCATCAGATTCGAGGTTCAGAAGGAGCTCAGAAGAGTTTCCCCAAACAGGGCACGGATGCAGGAGGACGCTACAGGAAATGACCCCAGCACAAGGGAGCAGAATCATGGGGCTGTGTGATGGTGTCCCAGGAGGAGAGGGTGCAGGGGACGGAGGAGCTGGGGCAAGGTGACAAGGTCCCAGGAGGAGGGGGTGCAGGGAATGGAGCATATCCCCTCGGGGGAGAGACCCCCGCTCAGAGGGAAGGCTGACCTCAGGAGAGACTCCCACTGCGAGGCTGCTCACTTGTCCTGGAGAAGCCCTCATACCTACTGTCAAGTAGAAGGAACAGGGGTTGGGTACCAGCACTGAGACAGGAGGCGCAGGAGAGGTGAGGGAGTTCAGGGAGCCAGGAGGAGGCTCCACGGGCAGTGTTGGCTTTCCGGAGGTCTGGGTGAAAGAGGTCATCAAGGCACATTCTGAGGGGAAGCCCTTGCCCAGCCCCGAGTCCAGGCATGCGGGAATGTGTGCAGGGGGATGGTCCAGACATAGCGGGGGTGGAGAGTGGAGGCTGTGGAGGATGCACCTGGCGCCCCTGCCCTGGAACAGGCACAGCCCCACGTAGAAGGGTCCACTGGTGTCTCACGTGGTCACCACGTGGCTGTGATGCTGTCTCTCAGCAGCAGCAGAAATGTTCTGCAAAGGTGCACGGAGCATGGTCCAGCATTCACGGCCTTCCATCCTGTTACCCCCACAGGCAGGGACCCTACCCACACATGAGGACGGGACAGCAGGAGCCACGGCGGAGCCACATACCGTCTGTGCTTCCTCCAGCGCCCCAGCTGCAGCTTCCCTGCAGTCCCTCGAACCAGATTGCCAGGCGTGCGCTCTACCCCACTCTGTGCAGAGTCAGCCAGGAAGAACCAGGTTCAGTCCAGGGCTCGCAGGGGCAATGGCGTTGAGCCTCCACCTCCTGTGGTCCCTGTGCCCCCAGGAGCAGGGCGGGGCTTGTGGACCCGGAATCCACAAGCCTGCTGGCACTGCTCCTGGGGTCTCAGGCGCTTGGGGCGTGTCCCGTCTGCGTTCTGGGAGGGCCTGGGCTCTCTCTCCCAGCTGCAGCCTGGGCAGGGCCATGGGGCCAGCCTGTGGAGAGTGCATCCCTTCACAGTCGCCAGGCAGGCGTGTGCTACCCTGCCCTGTCCATGACTGAGGAGCAGCCCTGTACTGCCATGCTGTCTCCTGCGCACATGTGCTCCAGACTGTGGTGGCGAGGG